ACAAACTCACCAGCCCACTGACGGCTGGCTGTAGCTTTTAGGCCCCATTCACACTGCGCGATTCGCAAATCGCGCATTTGTCGCGCAATTTGCATTTTGCGCGATATCGCGCAAATGCTTGCATTGAGCAAGCTAGAATCGCGGCAAAATCCGCTCCAAAAAGGGTCCTGCTGTAGCGACGCACAACCCGCGACAGCAGGACCCTTTGCCCCATTGCCAAGCATTGGAGAGCGATATCGCGCGGTAAATAGCCGCGATATCGTGGGAATTAACGCGCGATAAATCGATCAGTGTGAACGGGGCCTTAGAGTGAAACATACTGTATCTAGAAAAAAAAACGAATTATTTTTATAAAGTTAAAAAAAAAAAATTGTTATAGGCTGCAAAAAATGTCAAATAAATTTTTTATACACTTAACAGTTTATAATACAAAAACATAAGCACTGACTTTATTAATCAGTGTAAACATATAAAACCCTTATATGTTCTAGGAATAGTGTGTAAATGATTTAGATGGTCATTTATTTATTAGAATGTATTTCATAATATGGTTATTATCAAATTAACTAGCGCATAATAATGCAAGTACATTGGGTTTAGTCTTCTAGGTTTAATAACCTCTGGTCACAAAAGGGTTAATAAAAGCACATACAAATCCAGACATCTCACCTCTCCCGGACGTCCCGGCAGTCTCCCGCTATAAGATAGCAGCTCCCAGACGCCCGCGAGAGAGAAATTTTATCCCGGAAAGATTTACACTGCCCTATCTAGCAAATGAACCTTTCCCTGCTTTTGCTTTTTTTTAGACATTATTATTATTATTTGACCTAGAATTATTGCTCTCACTCCGGCGTGCGCGGCGATACCCGACATGTGTAGCGTAATCGTCATTTTCGTACATAGGCGCACCCGATGCGTGTTTACGTGACAACATGCGTGCTCGCAGGGGACTTTAAAAAATAAGAAAGTTGATAACACTGGCGCCAGCACCTGCAACTGTGTGCGGTGAATACACTGTCGAGGCAGCTCCCACTGGTCAGGGCAACCGACAAACTGGAATAAAAAACAAAAGGAGCGCCTCCATTGTGTAAAACTATTTAATATAGTGATATAAAAAAAGGTTCTGAAGAAGGAGGCGTGGCCTCTGAAACGCGTAAACCGTGGATCACTTGCAGCCATTTGGCTGAGGTGTTATACTTTTATCTCCGCTATTTGCACTTTCGTTTTTATCCATCAATCTGTACATGCCTGCTAATTCCAGCTGTTTGTAAGTACGGTCTTAGCTTTCTTATATCACTATAGTAAATATTTTTACACGATGGAGGCGCTCCTTTTGTTTTTTTATTCTAGTTTGTTTTTTATGCCAGTTTTTTTTTTAATTCGACTTTAAAAAATGTTTTTATAAATTTTACATTTAATTTATTTAATATTTTTAAAACTGTTTTTTTTTCTTTAATTGCGATCACATAGGGGGGCTTGCAAGCCCCCCATGTGATAGCATATTAGTGGTGACAGGTACTCTAAAAGGTGATACTGGAGGTCCAAAAGACCACTCATATCACCTTTACACTCTAAATAAGCTATTGAAGTGCAGATCGCCAGAATCGCTTCTACTGTAAAGCTGGCCGCCAGCTCTACAAAACTGAACAGAAGCCGCCGGGAGTCTGTTCAACCCCTTCAGACTTCATGACGGGATTATCCCATCATGGGTTGTGAAGTAGTTAAAGGTTCTGCTACTGACCCCTTGGTGCAAGATACCACAGCATACCTTCAGGTCTAGTGGAGTCCATGTCGCAACAGATCAGGGCTGTTTTGGCAACAGAAGGAAATGCTGCTAAATATTAGCCGGGTGGTCATAATGTTATGGCTGATCAGTGTATATTTATAAACGCATGTAAATTGCATGTAATGACTTTAAATGGTATAATTCACACTGTGCGCTTACATGTGTTTAGACTCATTCAGTGTAGAGAAAATAGAATTCTGTACGTCTAGGGGCAGATTAGATACTGTAAATCCGTCTAAACACATGGAAACACGAGTACATTTAAACACAGGAGAACTTGATAAGTCTAAAGTTTGAGCACTTCTCATGCATTTAAATAAACCAACCGTGGGGCCACAGCATGAATGTAGCCCTAGGGAGGAGCTTTTTGAACCTGTGTTTTTCCTGTCTAAAGGCGCCCATACACTGCGCGATTCTCGTACGAGAATCGCGGGGAAATCCCGCGATCGTACGAGAATCGTGCGGTGTATGGAAGGCGTGCGACCGTTTCTACTGTACGGTCGCACGTCTTCCGTCAAACCAGCAGGCTAGAAAACCCGCCGGGAATCGTACGATTCTCGGCAAGTTAGTGGCCTGCTGGTTCGACAACTGCCGATCGGGTCGGTGTGCGCATGCGCACACTGCCCGTTTGCAGTTATCACAAGCCCGCCCCTCATTGCAGTCATCGCAAGACCGCCCCTCAGGGGGGCGGGCTTGCCATGATCGCAAGTACGATCTGCCTGTCCAAGATGGGCAGATCGTACGTTTTTTTAAGTACTTCACAACCCTCGCAAGACAAAAGTCTTGCAAGGGTTGTAAAGTGTATGGGCACCTTTATACTAATGCTAACATGCGTCGGGTGCACGTGCACCTATGTACGAAAACGACAATTGCACCACAGGTTAGGTATCGCCTCAAGTGCCAGAGTGAGACCAATAATTTACTGTTGCCGCCATTTTTTTCTACAAGGTTTCAGGAAATATATCATTTCGAGCGGGTTTCAATAATTCTTAGGTCTAAAATGTGTGGATTACATAACGTGTGCAAAGACCCTGGCAGTGAAAGGGTTAAAGATGCCAGCTTTCAAGATTCCTTAGATCGCTTTGTTCCCCTTAGATCCCTTCATTTCACAATGAATCCTGAAAGCTTGCATCTTTTATTTTCAACTACCACCATTTTATTCTATAGGGTCTTGGCATTCAGAAAATATATAATGTTGGGGGGTTTTACGTCATTTTCAGGCCTAAAATGTGGAATATAACATGGGTGCAAAAATTGAAAAAAGGGCCTCAGTCATGAAGGGGTTAAAGCCTAAATCTACCTTTGGGACCATAATTCATGCTGCACCCATATTCAGGGTGTGACATGAAACATGGTAACAGCGCCAATGTACGTGAATTGTGGAGTTCTTGTCCCCACAGACTCCTGTCATAATCTGAATTTGGTGGGGTTGTGTCCGGCTGCACCCAAACAGCCACATCATCCATTCATAGATTCTCTGGCAGGATCTGTGAACGGAGGGACTACAAATCCCATCAATGCAGTACAAGCGAGGTGACATCACTATGCTTGTAGTCCATTCATACTTCCTCCCATCCATGTCACTGAAAGCCGGTACCTTGGTACAGGCAGGGGCTGATCATGATCTGATTAGTTGCAATCCTTTACAGGATCCAATGCAAAAAAATAAATAAATAATAATAATAATAATAAATGCACTTTTTCTCTTTTAATATCTGGCATTTATTTGTTTTACAAAAGCTGAACTATGGGGTGTTTTTCCCCATAGTTCTCTTTAGGGTCATGGGAGAACATATACTAACCTCCTCCCATGACCCAGAGCTCAGTATATCGCAGGCTATTGCTGAGAGCGCCGCAGCCGGGACGGATCCCAACAATACTGTCTGGATCCACCCAGCTTCGTGAGTGACAGCTGGCTCTGCCTATCTAGAGGCAGAGCCAGCTGTGCCCGTCCCCTCCGTTCCTCCACTCAGCGCTGGAGGATCGGAAAGGGGGGAATCTCTGCAGGGAGCCGTGACTGACAGTCACTTCTCTCTGCAAGGAGATGATCGGAAAGTGACCGAGCGACGGTATGTGTTCAGTCACTTGCCGATCAATAGAGCCGACCTGTGACAGTTTTAATGTCACAGGTCGGCTCTAACAAGGAGGATGAGTGGAAATCACTCACTTCATATTTCTCCTTTAAGTTACCCAATATAGAGTATCACTCAGGGCTCGTTCACACTATAGCGGTGACTGGCGTCAGTCACGGCTGGGGCACATGGACAACAATTGTTCACACTACAACACAGAAGTGATGTGCAGTGAGAAAATAATGCAGACATGTTGCCTTTTTTTTTTACAGCGCAGGTCTTTGCCAGGTCACCTGGCCTCACCACAGCGCAGTACACCACACTGCTGTGCAGGGACCTGAATGAAGTTGACAGTTTGTACACGGCAATTAACGTTAGAAAAAAAAAGTAGTGCCTGACCTTGTAACAAGGCAAGGCACTGTGGCTCCCATTCGGCGAACGCTAGTCACGCGGTAAAACGCACCATTTTTCTGTGCCGCTAGTGTGAACCATGCCTTAGGCCCCGTTCACACCGTGGCATTTTGTCACGCACGTCACAATAAAATACCATGTATTCCTAGAGCCACCGTTCACACCTAAGCGTAGAGTCGCGGATATTTTTTTTTTTTAAACCGCCTGTCGCTGAAGCATTTTTTCTAAGGCAAGCATGATTTGACTCCGTAGACTCAAAAGAAAATGCTTAGAAACACGCCACACAATTTTTTTGTTCGTGTTTCCCATTTAAATCAATATGTCACAGATCTGCTTACAACAACGCACGACTTAGTATACTTGTGGAAAATGCACGCAATCTGCACTGAAACACTGTCACCTTAGTGTGAGTGGGCATTAAACCCCACACTTCCTGCACTAAGCCTGGCTAACACAGCAATGCAAGTAATCCCCCTCAGCTCCAGGTATCAGGGGTACATGTCCTATGTCCTGGCTGAGGGGAAAGTTTGCAGCAAGTCACGTGACGGCCCCGTGTGACTCCAGCCGCCTAGTGGACGGCACATGAGTGGCTGTGTCCTTCACCAGCGTGTAATGTCTGGTGGCGAGAGGGCAGGGGGCTGTTCCCACCGCAGCCTCTGTCTCCCTGTGTCCTGCGGAAATGACACACACGGAGTCCCGTCACGTCACGCGAGATAGCAGGGCACAGCCTGGTATAGTGCAGCGGGAAGGAGAGCGTGTCTGTGACGCCCACTCAGGAACATTGCTAGCGCTGGAACGTGCAGGATTCGGGTCACAGGTCTCTATGCAAGGTAAGCGGGCGTCTGCAGGGAGAAGTGAACTCATCAGCAGACATGGAGTGTTATCGCTTAGCCCGTTACTAGGGACGTAGTGATAGAGCGTTGGTCCTGAGGAGAGCCGGGTGCTCATTGTGACGGCTAACGTGCTATCTGACGTCACGGCCCACCGAACCATGGCTACAGCTCTGGAGGGGAGCATTCAGTGTATGGCTCCTCTGTCCTCTGCTACTTCTAGTCACATGTTTTACAGCAGCTTGTACTTGTCTGACATGAAAGCTGTAGTCCAGGCACATATAAAAGAGGTCAATGAATGCAGCTCTAGTCATTCGAACTTTCTTACATGCCACTTGGTATCAGCCGTATGCCATCCCTGTACCCTTGGGGAAGGAAGAGCCAGCATAAGGAGCAGCAAGTCAGCTATGCAGATAGGAGGAGAGTGACAAAGATGAGCTCATCACTGTGCTGCTACTTCTTTCATAGGCTTAGTGGGCAAGACTTAAGTGTTACTTGAGTGCAAGCCTATAACACACCTTCAATACCAGGCCCTTTCAGTGCTGGCATACTTAGATTCACAATTGGTCGTGCAATGCTCTACCCAAAGTGTTTCATCATAAGGGTCAGCGGGAGCCAACTGCAAGGAAACTGAAGTGTATTTTAATAAGTTTAGAACCCAGGGGAGGGATAGGCAAACTCCAGTCCTCTGGCTGTGGTGGATCTACAAATCCCACCTCTACAAATCTCACCATGCATCTGCCTCTGGAAGTCATGCCTGTGGCTGTTAGTCTTGCATTGCCTTATGGGATTTGTAGTTGCACCACAGCTGGAGGGTCAGCGTTTGCCTACCGCTGTCCTAGGACATGCCTCGTACGCCCTAGAATGCTTTTCTCCTTAGCCCAGCTGTATACCCAGCTATAGTTACTGGCAATTGCTTGCAATGGCATATGTAATTCCTTCTGGAAGTGGTTCAAACTAAAAATTGGCACGTTTGGCCAGCTGTAGCTGTAGAATCACACCTTGTATATGTAATGAGCAAATATAAATCATACTAATGGAACATTTAACCTCTTAGTGACACAGCTCCAGAAAATATATTTGTTCCTGGGGACTGGAGCAATTTTGCCATTTTTGCTATGTGTTAGTTCAACCATAATTTCCATCTTCCTCATACATTGCACCCACACATATTATATACCATTTTTTAAAGGACATATGCATATAGAAATAATTTAAAAAAGAAAAGAAAAAATTCTGGGAGTTGTAGTCCTCTGTCGCTGGTGGTATTCTGCATTGTTAAATAATGTATTGCTGGGATTTGTAGTCCCTCTGCAGCTTGGAGTCGGTGGCCGAACTATCAGGGTCAAAGCTGTGACAGGGCCCTGGCACCCCACCACTGTCCTGAAATCATTACAGTAGTCTGTATTGTTTTAGAAAAACGATTACATCGCAATAAACAAAAAAAATGTATCAGTAATTGGCATCAGCCGGTACTTGTACTTGGTCTGGAAAAAATGGTATTGTTGCATTCCTAAGGAATATCTAGATAAAGTTTTAAAAGCTCATATTTTTAAGTTGTTAACCCTTAAATTGAAATAGTTTCTGCAGATTTTAACCTCTTGCCGTCCGCCCGTAGTAGAAAAACGGACGGATGGCACTGCTGCATTGGTGGGTTGCCGTCGCCAGACGGCATTTTTTTTCTGCTTGCGTGCGCCCCCTAGCGGGCACGCACGGGCAGAAAAGACCCGTCCAATGCGAACACCCGTATTTCGGTAATTTTTCCTTAATATAGTAAAAAAATAAAACCCCCAGTGGTGAATAAATACCACCAAAAGAAAGCTCTATCTGTCCCCAAAAAAGGGTATAAAATTCATTTCAGTACAGCGCTGCATGACGGAATAAATGTCAGTCAAAGTACCGCAGCGCTGAATACTGAAAAATGGCCTGGATGGGAAGGGGGTTTAACACCGCGGATGTCAACTGGTTAAAGAAGAACTCCAGGATTTTTTTTTTATTAACCCTTGCAGTGGGGCTACTCCCGCACTGCAAGGGTTAACTGCTGGTTTGTGTATAGGGTAACAAAACACAAAGATACACTCGGCCAAAGCTCAGAGTCGGCTCCTTCCAACGTCTCTTCCCCCTCCTCTGCAGTGGTCTGAGGTCCAGTAAATCATCACGCCTATACACTGTGTATAGACATGAGGATGCGAGTGGGCTATTGTGTTTTGACAGCGCCGGGTATGCTGCTGTCAGAATACACAAACAGTGAATGCAGCTGATTAGCCTCTGTCTTGCTGAAATACAAATGTTCTGCCATGGCTCAGGTTTCTTACAGACTGCCTCAGATTTTCCCTGCTACAACCACCGTGCTCTATGGCAGGGATAGTGGGGGGAATTTCTCAAAAGTGGAGCAATTGCCCATGGCAACCAATCATCTTCTATCTTCTGTTTGTTCAGTTAAGATTTGAAAATGAAAGAGAGAAGCTGATTGGTTACTGTGCACAGCTGCTTCAGATTTTGTCTGCTCCAGTTTTGATAAATTCCCCTCAGTGTGTTTATATTAACATGCCAGTATTTGGCATTTCCCCACAAAAAAAGTATACGCCCCTGAATTGTGGAGCTGGCTTGCTCTTAGTTTAAATGAGGACACTGAGGAAGATTCCAATGCTGCAGGGTAGGAGGGGATCAGGATTCAGAGACTGGAGAAGCAGGCAGCCAGCTTAGAGGTTCAGGTGAGTATAACTTTTTTTTTTAGCACCAAGACAAAAATGAGCATTTACCCTTCGCAGTGCAGGGGTAGCCCCACCACAAGGGCTAATTATAGTTTTGCCCAGAGTTCTTCTCTAAGTAAAAAAAATACCCAATAAATGAATATACTTTTTTCCTATAAAGCTATAACATTTGTGCACTATTCTTTGCATGAGGTGCACTTATGTCCAAGCAAACGTGTAATATGTCATAGACCTGCACTGTATTTGGATTTCGTGATCATTCTGTGCGTTTTATCAGTTCGGATGCTTATCATTATTTTTTCTAAGTAAATTGTTAGGCTTTAGGTTTTTAACTATGGATTCCACCCACAAAATGTAAAAGTGATAAACACAATTTATTTGTTAAAGGAGAACTATGGGGTTAGGGCTTTTCCCCATAGTTCTCCTTAGGGTTCCGGGAGGACACAAACTAGCGTGCTCCCGTCACCCTATGCTCAGTATACCGCGAGCTACAGCTCGCGGTATACTGAGACGCCGCAGTACAGCTCGCGGTATACTGAGACTCCGCAGCTGAAGCGGACCCCGACAATTATGCCTGGATCCGCCCAGCTGCGTGAGTGACAACTGGCTCTGCCTATCTAGAGTCAGCGCTGGAGGATCGGAGCGGGGAGGGGGGAGTCCAGCCACTCCCCTATCACAGCAGAGAGCCGTGACAGGATTGAGAAGTGAGCGAACGCCGGTATGTGTTTGCTCACTTCCCGATCTACTGAGCCGACCTGTGACAGTCTCATTGTCACAGGTCGGCTAGAACTATGAGGTGAGTGAAAAGCACTCACTCCATAGTTCTAAAAGTGACATTAAAGGCAAAAAATAAAAAATTCCCCTCCCCCCATGTTAATGTTAGCACTTACCTTAAATTATATCTCTTTTTCCGATCTTCCTCTTCTTCTTTCCTGATGTTTTCAGCCTTCTCTCCAGCGGTGCGGCGGCTCTCCGATCCAGCGCTGACTGCTCTGTCCCTCCGATCCAGTGGTGTCTGCATGCGCGTGCACGCGTCCACAGACTTACCTTGCGTCCCGGCCGAAAATGAGAACTGCGCATGCGCCCGCCCCAAAATCGTTTGCGGCCGCTCGAGAAATTTCTCATTTTTGCACGGGACAGCGCACGGAACACATGTGAGTCTAAACTGCTGTTTGAGCGGGTTTTTTTTTTTTTTACTTTTTGCATATATCTACTGCTTGCTAGCAGTAGATATATGCAAAAAAACAGGAGGGTTTAACTATCCTTTAAGCATTCCAAACTGTTGCAGCAAAGGTTTCCTTAACAATAATTATGTATATCATGTTGAAAAACTTAGTTTTCATGTCCTGTTCTTAAACAGGTGAAGAAAACAATGAATGCAGCTGAATTTCGAGATGAAGATGATGATAAAGGTATATGCCTTACCGAGACATTTTTAGTTTCATGCTATCTTGATGCATGAGGTGTTATTGTGTTTGTGGTGGGAAAATGCACTACTAATGTATGATCATTTATGTCATCCTTCCAGTGAAAGTTGTGACAGTGGATTCATCAAGTGAAGAAGTTCGCCTGCGATGCTTACGCGCACCATCTGTGGGCAAAGCAGTTCCAGAGTGCACAGTTAACTGTCACTCCAGTAAACGGAAACAAGCTTCTCTTATGTCTAATGGGTCCAGTGGTGAAGCAGAAAATCTTACCACGTTTAAAAAAAAGCGACTCACTCCAGAGGTACATTTTCAAAAAAAGGTTTTTCCTTTTGTACTTGTCACACTTTTATATGTTGATATGTATATTAGAGAAGGTAAAACATGTAGCAAGTTACAAGCAATTATCCACATGCCTGAGGAGTGTTGGTTGAATGGATGGAACATAAAAGTGTTTGTTCATCTCCTTATTAAAGGGTGTGTGCTCATTTCTCCTCTCCTTAGCCTGGAACTTTTAAAACGGATCATTCTTGTCTGAAACCCTGTGCCTCTAAAATATTTACTGCAAGCCTGCAAGGTACTACACAACCTTTGTCCTGAAATCCTTTGAATTCTGCAAAGTGCTACCTACAGCAGGCTCCATTCAGTTTGACAGCTTGTCATGCAATTGCAGATCACTCTATGTGACTACCAGGTAGTTGTTTTATGTGCCAGATGGTGTACAAACTCCTTGAAGGGCATCTCTTTGACTGTGCTCAAGGGATCTTTAGAGAGATATAAATCAGAACGAGGGATGGAACAGAGCATAACACACTGGGCCAGATGTATAAAATGGTACAAAGGGAAAAGGTATTAGCCATAGTAAGCAAAGAAATACAGGGCTTTGCAAAATTATTTATCCCCCTGTAACATAAAAATTGCAATGACCATAACCCTTGTCGCCATACCATGAATTTAGAATAAAAAATCTTCCCATAAGATTATATGTGCATTTCACAAATTGTAGGCATTTTATTTACATGTAAATCTTCCCTTGTATAGACATTCAAAAGCCCTAAGACTTCTGCTGGGTGCCACCAACTTAAATGTGATGTCAACAACCCCAGCAGCTACATAAAAGGTTATGTAGGGAGGTGAGGTGTGGAGATGCTCTTCCTAGAAAATCTGGCTACCCCAGGAAAGAGGTACATTGCAAGTGTAAAAAAAAATGTATCGAAATGCAAAACACTGCAAGTAGGCATTTAAAATATTTCTTGTCACTTCCTGTTATGTCTCTGGGACAGGTAGTGAAGGGACATTTTCGCTACAGTACACAGGCTTTAAGATGAGGGACTTCATCTAGAGTGTAGAATATTAAAAACAATCGTCCTTATGGAAAGTCTGAATGTCCATAGCCATCACTTTTGGTAGCTACATGCCCAGCTATGTGTTTAAAACGTTTTATCACAATACTATTTCTAATGTGATGTTTTTCTATTAAACTATCTATGTATGGAAGTAATATAATGTACAATATAATGATAAATAAAGGAATTAAGTCTGATCTTTATGAAATGATGTCCCTGCCAATCACCACATGTTGGCATTCTAGAAATATATATTTTTATGTTAAGATGTTAAAAAAAGCATACCCCCACACTGTAAGGAATAAGTGCTTATATGTTGGTCTAGGGTGTAAGATAAAAAAAGATATACTCACTCGATCCTCGGTCCTGCGGCAGTGACCGTTTAGCTCTCTCCGCCTCCTCTCCAACTTCGGAATGTCTCTCAGCGTCCACACTTATAATACAGGTCAATGTACAGATATTTTACACAAAATGACATTATTGGGGCTTAAACTGCCAGAGCCCATGGTAGAGGAGGCTGGACCAGTCTAGCAGCCAGGTGGGACCGATGAGTATATCTTTTTTTATTTCAGACCCTAGACCAAAACAAGCACATAACCCTTGCAATGTATAATTTTTTTAACTGCCCAGCGTACTTCTCAAAACCACCTCAAAAGCCAGCAGCCGGGCGAGAGCCTTAAAAGCGCACGCACAAGTGGAAAAACGAACTTAAATGTAAACAACTATGGAGCCGCTGGATCGCTTGTATTTTGTGCGGCTGTGCTCCGCCGGTCCCAAAATCTGCTGTGCCCGGTGCAGGCTGGAACTAGCACAGCGGCTCTGTCACCGGAGTTCAGTACACGATCCCCCTCTGATCTCCTCTCCGGTGTCAGAATGCAGCAAATTTGTATATGACATCACTTTTGTTTTCAGCTGTCATTCTTCTAGCTACAGAAGCTTGAGAGAAGCTGGTGAAGCAGATCCCTTGGTGATAAAGCTTAAGTGGAGACACCTTTTCCACATGATCACTCTTACAGGAGTAAATTTCCCTTCCTAGGGGTAGATTTCCTTTCACTTCCTGTTGTCTCAAGGACAGGAAGTGAGACTAAATGTTTCTAATGAGGATACAGACAGCAGTAAAAACCAAACGGTGACCCGGAAGAAGAGGTGGGCACCCCTTGTCTGCATGTCTAACAAGAGCCATCTTCCTGTAATGTACGTACAGTACTACGAACCTGACCCAAAAAGGCGGGCACGAGCGCGGTAGTATTACAACTACCCCTGCTGTACAGTAATAGCCTCCGTTTGTAAGTAGGAGTCGTATGTAAGTCGGACGTATGTAACTCAGGGACTGCCTGTATAGTAAAAAATAAAAACCCCAGGGGTGATTAAATACCACCAAAAGAAAGCTCTATGGGAGCAATTTATCAAAATTGTAGCAGACAGAATATGAAGCACTTGCCCATGGCAACCAATCAGCATCTCTCTTCAGTTTGCTCAGTTAAGATTTGAAAAAAAGAGAGAAAAACTGATTGGTTGCCATGCAAATCTGCTCCAGATTTCCTCTGCTCCAGTTTTGATAAATTCCCCCCTATGTGTCCCCAAAAAATTATATAAAATTTCAGTACAGCGTTCCATGACGGAATTAATGTCTAAGTACTGCAGTGCTGAATGCAGAAAAATGGCCTGGACTGGAACGGGGTTTAATACCACGGTCTTTAAGTGGTTAATCAAGATTGTCTTTTTTGTAACATACGCCAAATTCTTAGGCAGTAAAATAAATATATTTTTTGTAGTGTTAAAGTGGAAATGTCAGTCTTTTGTGTTATTGGTGCTTCAGTACTACTTCAAATGTGCAGGTTTTATCCTCCTTAAATAAAGGAATTAAGTCTGATCTTTATGAAATGATGTCCCTGCCAATCACCACATGTTGGCATTCTAGAAATATATATTTTTATGTTAAGATGTTAAAAAAAGCATACCCCCACACTGTAAGGAATAAGTGCTTATATGTTGGTCTAGGGTGTAAGATAAAAAAAGATATACTCACTCGATCCTCGGTCCTGCGGCAGTGACCGTTTAGCTCTCTCCGCCTCCTCTCCAACTTCGGAATGTCTCTCAGCGTCCACACTTATAATACAGGTCAATGTACAGATATTTTACACAAAATGACATTATTGGGGCTTAAACTGCCAGAGCCCATGGTAGAGGAGGCTGGACCAGTCTAGCAGCCAGGTGGGACCGATGAGTATATCTTTTTTTATTTCAGACCCTAGACCAAAACAAGCACATAACCCTTGCAATGTATAATTTTTTTAACTGCCCAGCGTACTTCTCAAAACCACCTCAAAAGCCAGCAGCCGGGCGAGAGCCTTAAAAGCGCACGCACAAGTGGAAAAACGAACTTAAATGTAAACAACTATGGAGCCGCTGGATCGCTTGTATTTTGTGCGGCTGTGCTCCGCCGGTCCCAAAATCTGCTGTGCCCGGTGCAGGCTGGAACTAGCACAGCGGCTCTGTCACCGGAGTTCAGTACACGATCCCCCTCTGATCTCCTCTCCGGTGTCAGAATGCAGCAAATTTGTATATGACATCACTTTTGTTTTCAGCTGTCATTCTTCTAGCTACAGAAGCTTGAGAGAAGCTGGTGAAGCAGATCCCTTGGTGATAAAGCTTAAGTGGAGACACCTTTTCCACATGATCACTCTTACAGGAGTAAATTTCCCTTCCTAGGGGTAGATTTCCTTTCACTTCCTGTTGTCTCAAGGACAGGAAGTGAGACTAAATGTTTCTAATGAGGATACAGACAGCAGTAAAAACCAAACGGTGACCCGGAAGAAGAGGTGGGCACCCCTTGTCTGCATGTCTAACAAGAGCCATCTTCCTGTAATGTACGTACAGTACTACGAACCTGACCCAAAAAGGCGGGCACGAGCGCGGTAGTATTACAACTACCCCTGCTGTACAGTAATAGCCTCCGTTTGTAAGTAGGAGTCGTATGTAAGTCGGACGTATGTAACTCAGGGACTGCCTGTATAGTAAAAAATAAAAACCCCAGGGGTGATTAAATACCACCAAAAGAAAGCTCTATGGGAGCAATTTATCAAAATTGTAGCAGACAGAATATGAAGCACTTGCCCATGGCAACCAATCAGCATCTCTCTTCAGTTTGCTCAGTTAAGATTTGAAAAAAAGAGAGAAAAACTGATTGGTTGCCATGCAAATCTGCTCCAGATTTCCTCTGCTCCAGTTTTGATAAATTCCCCCCTATGTGTCCCCAAAAAATTATATAAAATTTCAGTACAGCGTTCCATGACGGAATTAATGTCTAAGTACTGCAGTGCTGAATGCAGAAAAATGGCCTGGACTGGAACGGGGTTTAATACCACGGTCTTTAAGTGGTTAATCAAGATGGTCTTTTTTGTAACATACGCCAAATTCTTAGGCAGTAAAATAAATATATTTTTTGTAGTGTTAAAGTGGAAATGTCAGTCTTTTGTGTTATTGGTGCTTCAGTACTACTTCAAATGTGCAGGTTTTATCCTCCGGTACTAGAGGTACACACTGTACTTTTGGTCCATTAATATTTATACTTTGTGTTTTAGGGTCTGCCTACGAGCTTGAAAAACAGGGATTCTGCATGCTCTGCCCAGGGAAATGTTGAGTTGAGTACCAGCTCCGAGTACAGTACTGAATCTCCAGGTGAAGAAGACACAGTGAGCGACTTTGCCACATACAAAAAACCTCTGTATGGAATTTCACACAAGATTACAGAGAAAAAAAATTCTGTTACGTCTGACCTGTTGACATCTTTTGACATTTATGAGAAGGTAAATCAGTGTAGCCCTTCAGGGATTCGGATGTTCAACGAGCTTCGTAAACGTGAAACAGGTTGCAATTCAGTAACTTCACCAGTCAGTGAGGAGTCAAATCTTTACACTTTAATACAAAAAATGTTTTTCACGCTCAACACGCTCAATTCCAATATGTCTCAGCTTCATAGTAAAGTTGACCTTTTGTCCCTTGAGGTAAGTAGAATAAAGAAAAAGGTCAGCCCTAATGACATGGTGGCAGATTTCCATCCACCTCCTGAGTATCAGTTAACTAGCACTGAACTTAAACAAGCAATGGACCAGAGCACTTCAGCTGGTGATTTGGCATGTCGCTTGCTGGTTCAACTCTTCCCTGAGCTTTTTGGAAGCAGTGCTTTGTCCAGGAGCTGCGGTACATGTGGCTTTGTCAACAAGATTAAATTGGAATCCCTTCATCTCCAGCTCATAAGAAACTACGTGGAGGCATGCCATCCCTCTGTTCAGAACAATGCTGTTTGGCAGGTTGAGGTTTTGCCTCAAGTAAATGATTTCTTCAATCGTTTTTGGGCTGAGAGAGATATGGAAAGCAGCCATCATGGTATGCAGGCCTCCCCTTTCTTTGAAAATCAACCATGTCCGAATTCTCACTTTGTTGACAGTAAAGAGCAGGAGGAAAATGTTACTTTAGAAAGGGCCATTCCCATGGTTTCAGAATATGCCATCAACGTGAAGGACCTCAATGAATGTTTAGAAGAGGCTTCTAATCCAGGAGAATTTGCAGTCTTTTTGCTTCATAGATTATTTCCAGAGATATTTAACCAAAGAAAGCTTGGTGAAAGGAATTTTGGAGACCCTGAGAATTTTACTCTAGATCCTCACCGACTGCAACTAATCCGCCAGTACACAGAGATATACTTTCCAGACATACAGGAGGATGATATTTGGTTGCAGCAGTGTGTGCAAAGAATAAATGATGAGTTGGAGAGTCTGTTCATGGATGGTAGTGAGTGTGATGACATGAGAGATGACTGTTACGAATCTAATCTACCCGATGACCTGTCTATTGTAAAGGTAGAAGATGGCACTGATAATGACATGGAAAAACAAGGAAGAAAGTCCAAAAAAATCTGGCTTGTTCCTTTTGATTTTGATAAAATTGACATTCCACCCCCAGACTTTGAGGTTCCTTTTCCACAATTCTTGCTCAGCAAAGAGCAGCTTAAAAATATATATGAGACGAGCTTGTCTATTGGTAATTTTGCCTCACGTCTTCTGGTACATTTGTTCCCTGAACTTTTCACGCATGAGAATTTGAGAAAGCAGTACAACTGCAGTGGTTCACTGGGCAAGAAACCGCTAGACCCAGTTCGCGTAAAACTTATCCGGCATTATGTTCAAACTCTTTACCCCAGGGCAAAAAATGATAGAGTTTGGACTTTAGAGTTTGTAGGGAAATTGGATGAGAGATGTCGGCGAAGGGATACAGAACAAAGGCGATCTTATCAGCAGCAGAGAAAGGTATATGTGCCCTTGCCTGAGAGAAGAGACTTTGTGCCTTTTGAGTTGACCTCAGAAAGATACAGAGATCTTATTGAAGGACCACCTCTGCCTCCTGAACGCAGCACAAAAGACTTCTGTAAAATACCACTGGATAAGATTGTCATTCCACCTCCTGATTTCCCTGTGCCTACTATATACCTACTTACTGACAAAGAAATAAGGGACATTGTTCAACAAAGTCTTTCTGTTGGAAATTTTGCTGCCAGGCTATTGGTGAGACTTTTTCCAGAGCTGTTTACTCCAGAAAATCTTAGACTGCAATACAACCACTCAGGTGCATGCAACAAGAAGCAGCTGGATCCCATAAGACTAAGAATGATCCGCCACTATGTGGAAGCAGTATATCCTGTAGACAAAATGGAGGAAGTATGGCATTATGAATGTATTCCCAGCATTGATGAAAGGTGCAGGCGCCCAAATAGGAAAAAATGTGACATACTTAAGAAGGCTACAAAGAATCAAAATAATAACTGCTGAGCATTTAGTAAATGATAGTAAATTATTTTAGTTGTCTTTATAGAGATTTATAGTGCTGCTTTTACCTATTTTTCTTTTCTAAATATTACTTGTAAAAGAATATGGAAAAATAGTTTGTTAGAATGTGAGACTGACTGCATATTTGCACTCCCCTTAAAACATTTCCTTGTGTTTTAATATTAACTGCATTTCCCTACAGAAGTTTGTTCAATTTTGTACATTTCCAATGGTTTTTTGTTTTATAGTTTATTTCAATATGCTCATTGGATTTCATTTTTCTAGGTATACTATTTTTGCTGCCTGTAAAGTGTTGTGTAACCCAACGTTAGTAATTGGTTACCGATATTTTTGTAAAAGAAATTGCTGTAGAATTTCCTACATAAAAGCAAACAACACTAGTTGGGTATAGCCTTTTCTTGAACTAAAACCACATTAAGAGTCATTTGTTAAACAGTGTAATCACTAAATGTTTTAAGTAATACTGTATTTTCTTCAGTATCTCTCTGCTCCTTTTAACAAATTAATACTAAACACATTCCTTAGATTTCACCTTAAGGCCTCATTCACATGGGTAATGGCTGGCCCGGGTGACAGTAAGGCCTCGTACTCCCATAGAGAAGCACAGGCTGCTGCGTACAAATCACATGCAGCACCTGTCCTTCCCGGGAGCTGCCCAATACGACTGAGCACGGATCTATACGGGCCGTTCTTTTCTCGTGTGAATGAGGCCTTATTCTTTATTAAAGGAATACTGCATGTCCCCTCAATGCATTGGGGATGATTTACTAAATGAATAGAGACTGTTCATTTAACTTGGTAAATAATTTGTTATGCAGTATATTTTTTATGATGATAGCTGCAATATGGCAGTGCGGGGAACTGGGAAATAGTTGCAGAACAATAGGAATAGCACCTTACTTAAATAAACTTGCACATTGCTAATGCAGGGTAAAGCAACAGTTTCTTAAATGCCTTTTACATTTTCTTTAAAATAACCTCAAGGTTGTCACGCTGACAGCTGTAGCTTGAAGGCGATGTAATTGGTGGCCTGCTATATTTAAATTATATACATTATCCTTCAAAAAGAGAAATTACAAAGTGATACTAAACTCGGGCATTAAATCTTTAAAATGTATTCAAGAACCTTAACTATTAACAAAAATGTATCTTATTTGTGTATCACTCACCTGTAGATCCTCAAATCGTCTCTGAATTCATGCTGACACTGTCCTTCCTTCTGGAGGGTGGCTAGTCCCTGAGTGTTGTAAAGTAGCCCCCGCTCCAAGCTCACCTCCATAATGGACTACAGTCTCATGTTCAGTTTACTAATTTGTATTGGGATACTTTTCAACACACACAGGGACCATAAGTAGCTTCACCCCATTAAGATGCAGATTTATCTTGATGTGTGGAATATAAACTTCTGCAAGCTCTACCTTGACTCCAGTATCTAGGGTGGAGTGGGCCCAATGCCTCTTCATCTAAAAGTGCTTTCACATTTGTGTGCTTAATATTTAGGACTTCCTTCCATTTTGAAGGATACTTCTACATTGACACATTCAAATTAGGGATACACCGATACCAAGTACATATACAGATACTTTTCCATCTCCAAGACTAGAGAAAAATTCAAAAGTTAGGAGGCCGCTGTCGTTTGTAAGGAGCACACGGGATTTGTACATCTCTGTTTTAATGAAGGATTTTGTTTTTATAAATAAAGGGATGCACGGATACCATTTTTGCAAGTACAAGTACTAATACATTTTTGTTTGCCATGTGACAGTTTTTCTAAATCAATATCGACTAATGATTTCAGGACAGTGGTGGAGAGCCAGAGCCAGGTCCCAGCTGCAACCTCGGTAGTTCTCATGAAAATGCCAAGTATCTGAACTGGTATCGGTGCATCCCTAATTCAAATCCCTAAATAGAGCATTGACTTGGTTGAAATGCAATTGAGACAGCCATTCAGAAAATGGGGGTGTTTGATGACTGTCACTTTCACTGTAAAAACAGTTGTCATTAAGATGATTTGGACCAGCACCTACCTCTTTGGTAATGCAATATGGATTTAGGCCCAAACACTTTTTTTTTAAATCTGTTCCCTGACCTTGAAAATTCTTGTTCAGATAAACTTAAAAATAAATTCTGAAGTGAAACTACCCAGACTATGCACACTAAAATATTTACATCTTTTGAACAAGCAGTAAAAAACTTTAACACAAACCCTTATTCTCCTCTGTGGCTGTAGACATTGTGGAGAAATTCATTTTTTAAGTTCACAACAGAGACACTGAAATCTCAGCTTTTTTCCCTATGAGAGCAGAATCTTTGCACCCTGCTGGCCTTCCAATGTTCGCAACCAAAATATGTTTCTAAGCTCTAAAAAAACAACTAAGACAGAACTTCAGAGTCTTGTTGTGATCTTTGAGAATTTTGGGAATTATTTAATAAGAGAGGTAAGTCGGAGCTTGTTTAAAAGCTCTTAAACTGTTTGTTAATAATATAATGTCCATAGTCTAGGCACAGGTGCACTTTTTAATGTCCTGTTCAAGCATACTGCTGCCACTTCCTTTCCAAGAATATCAGCATTTCTGCCCTGCATGACTGCCACTTTTCCAAGTCTTGCTAGTCAGTAGATTTTCATGTCCCAAATTTTTGCCTGTTCTGGCTTTGTGATGCCTTTTTGGTTGATTTATCGTCCTAATTGCTGGCACAGGTAAGTGATATTTTTCCAATACCGGTACTTCTGTGTTTTTAGGCACTGTAATGGTATCGGCAACAACTGGTCCACATGATCTGTGTCCAATCACAAAATGACTGCAGTCTTACAATACTTGTCTATGCATGTCTATACACCCCACAAGTGTTTTAATTTTTGATCCAATATAAAAGAAAACACATTACAGAAAGTGTCACATTCTGCAGTGGACATGCATGTTCTGTTAATGCATGTGTTTATAGAATGATGCTGACCGTTGCATAAAGACCCATCAGCAAGTGGTCTATCTCTACTAGTTGAATCTTGTATCAAAGATTTTGAAAATGATGGTATGTATCTAACTTTAACGTAAAGTAGCACCTAGCACTTACAATCTGTATGTTTAGGTTTACGAATTGCTTTTCAAACACTGGTGTTTTTGCATCTGTATAAAGCAGACTGTGTATATACCCCTTATATACTTAAGTTTCTGTGTGTTTTTTTTATTTATTTAAGAGAAATATGTTGCCACCGATTGCTGTCTACTCCTTTTAAACATGCTGTATGCCTTTTTGTTGTGGAGATTCATTGGCCTTCTATTAGGGGTTCTGCCTTTACTTTTATCCATTTTTCTGCATTTGGCTCAGAAATTATGGAATCCAGAAACAGCTAAGCAACTAGCATTTTCAGAAAGAGATCAACAATCATATTAATAGGCAGGTAGAACTAAAAAGTTACCACGAATTGTATTTCTGTTCAGGGAAAATTATTATTAAAAATAATTATTTATCAGCTGACTGATAAAGTAAAGCTGATGCCTATTGCGGGGATAGACATTGATTTTATATTTCACATTTAAAATGAATTATGTTGCCACAGTAAACATTTAAAGCAAAACAGCCTGCAAAATAAGAAGTAGAATACTCACTAGTCTTACAGATGGCGACTTTGCTTTCTTAAAGAGCCACAACAATCTGGAGTATTAAACCAGACTGGGTCCACACAGCTGGGTGGATCACAACAGTATTGTTGGCATCTGTCCTGGCTGCGGCGCTCTCAGTATATCACAGGCAATAGCCCGCTATATATTGAGCTTTGGGTCACGGGAGGAGGTTAGTACAGTATATGTCCTCCCGTGACCCTAAAGAGAACTATGGGGAAAAACACTTACCTTGAGTTTAGTGTCACTTTAAGTTCTCTGATAGAGCTGTGATAAACAACCAGTAGTTTTCTAGCTCTAGAACTTCAGGTCCCAACAGGATCTACCAACTCTCTGTCTAACCTCATACATTTTATAGCCACATGTTTTTATGTCGACATCTCACCATCCCACCTATATAATCTTGTTGGACACCTGACCTCAATAATTTGGAAGGGGGTCCACATATTTTGACCATATAGTGTAGGTCTGTTTGTTAGAGGCTGACATGCTTTTATCCATATCGTGTTCCCCATAGAGCAACAGGGCATATTGGATCAGAAATCTGCTGGTTGCCTGTCTCTGAGTTAGGATTGCTGTGGATGAATTTGACAGAAGCATTACAATACAAATATCCACTCTTCATGCAAACATTGTAAGGGTATTTTATGGGGACACCATATTAAATTGTCACCTGCAACAAAACTGTAACCTTGATTTTGATTGGAGTAAATGTTGTTATCTTGAAGTCAAATTGTCACAAATTAATGCGGTACAAAGTGTAGTGATGTGCAAAGGTCAGGTATACATAACAACCCAGACTTAAAGCCCAACTCCGGGCAAACTAAAAAGTACCCTTGGAATGGGGTTAGCCCCACACTGCAAGAGTTAAGTGCTTGTTAATGCCTTGATTAAAGCCTGGAGTAAAGCAGATTTACTTACCTGATCGCTGTTCTCCTGTCGGTCATCGCTGTCCTCTTCTCCCCCTCTGCTTCGACTGGTGGAATGTCTGTCAGCGTCCTCACATCTAATGCAGGTCTATGGACCTGCATTGGACCTTGCATTAGATCTGATGATGTCAGTGGTTCTTAGACCACGAGAACTCAGGGGAGAAGAAACTGCGGGGACTGGTCTTACAGCCCTGAGGAAACCTTTTTTCCCCCCCCCCCCCCCCTAGACAAAAACAGGCACGTAACCCTTGCATTGCGGGGTAGCCCCACTGCAAGGGTACTTTTTGTTTGCCCAGAGATGGGCTCTGAATTTACTGTAAGCAAATATGACTGGTTGGTATACTGTATCTTACCAAACTATTCAGAACATCGTTGCTGTTCTATCTGCTGTACTAGTTCATAAGGCTAGTAGGTTGGAATTCCATTGGTTCAACAATAACTAAAGTTGAACATCTACTTTTGGTGCTTTTATTTGTATATATTTTGTTGCACTGATGGGGTGTTAAATTTGGATTTACACTAAATGTTGTTAAAGTAAAAATCATTTTTCTATTGTTATTTAGGGACAAGCAAACTAATGTGCTTTGCATAAGCGTTCCATCCTTTACCACCTTTCATAGTGTAAAAACTGTAATAATAGATGTAGATGGGGTTTTCCCCATATGATTTCCACAACATGCCTAACTCTTAGTCCCAAGTCAATACATGTTAGAAACCACTTTTAAATATGTTTCTGTACCTTTTGTTCACCTGGGTCTTTGTACTATTTTTTTTTTGTGAAACTGTTGCAAAGTTTCTTACCTGGAGACCTTGCCAGCACTGCACTTCCTATTGTAGGTCAATAATACGAATTCACTGCCTTGCACTTCATAGCAGCGTTATAACCCTGCCACATGTACTTCTTCCATTGGGCTTCCTATCAGGTCTGCCCATGCAAGGTCCACTTTAAAGCTCTGTTTTGTAAAGTTGTTGGGTTATAGTTATCACATGGTCTTTCCCATCTCAGCTGTGGATCTCTGCAGCTTCTTCCTAGTTACTTTTGGCCTCTTTGTTGCTACTCTGACTAATGTAGACGTTGTGCCATATTCTTTGCACTTTATTAACAGACTTGCCGGTGCTTCGGGGATGTTGAAAGATGCAATATATATATTTTCTTTAAACCCAGCCCTGTTCGTTGCTTCTCCAGATCATTATGCCTGAGTTAGTTTAATGGCTCTTTTATTATTAAAGTGACACTGAACTCAAGATTTAAATCTTATAATTGCATTTGTGTACCTTTTCGCTATTAACAAAAATGTATCTTATTTGTGTATCACTCACCTGTAGATCCTCAAATCATCTCTGAATTGGTGCTGACACAGTCCTTCCTTTCTGGAGAGGGGCTACTTTTGTTCCCCATGGTCCTTTTTGTGTGTTGTAAAGTAGCCACCGATCCAAGCTCACTCACGTGATGGACTACAATCTCAATACAAATTAGCTAACTATACATGAGATTGTAGTCCATCACGAGAGCGAGCTTGGAGCGGTGGCTACTTTACAACACAAGGAACATGGAGAACAAAAGTAGCCACCCTCCAGAAGGAAGGACAGTGTCGGCACCAATTCAGAGATGAGGATCTACAGCTGAGTTTATTGTCACTTTAATAATGCTATATTTTGGAAAAGTCTTCTAGGTTCCGTGGCCTTGTGAACACAGGTGTATTCATTTTATGGTCATGTGACACATGTAACACAGGTAAACTCTATTAAACTTTTTTTTTTTATTTGTGTTATGAAATACATTAGGCTGGCCATACACTATAGAATGGGGAGAATTTATCAAAGCAATTGCGACAGTTTAGCCTCTTAGATCATTTTTTTTTTTTTATATGTGCAAATTTGTCTTTTAACGTGTATGCCTGTTTTGAACAGAGCTTGCACTACTTTTCCAATTGCACATGTTTTGCACCTGTTTTCATCTGCTGGCCTTGTGAACACAGGTGTATTCATTTTATGGTCATGTGACACATGTAACACAGGTAAACTCTATTAAACTTTTTTTTTTTATTTGTGTTATGAAATACATTAGGCTGGCCATACACTATACAATGGGGAGAATTTATCAAAGCAATTGTGACAGTTTAGCCTCTTAGATCATTTTTTTTTTTATATGTGCAAATTTGTCTTTTAACGTGTATGCCTGTTTTGAACAGAGCTTGCACTACTTTTCCAATTGCACATGTTTTGCACCTGTTTTCATCTGCACTTGTTCTGGGCTGTCTGAAACTGGAGCATCACCTAACAAAACAATCGCAACTTAAGAAGTCCCCATGACCGCTTCTTCAAGAAGCAACAGTTAAGCTTTTTGCCTGGAGTTGTGAGTCGTCTTTCCTGGAGTCTATTTAACCTCATTTATCAGCAACATTACACTAGCAACATAAATCTGGCACAAATTGTGTCAAATATATTCTGTGCAAGTTCAAATACTCGCAATTGCTATTATAAATTCCCCCCAGTATGTTTGTACAATTTTAGCACAATCTCCTTAA